ACTCCGTGACTAGGTGGCTCCTCTGCTCAAAGACACCCTCCCACCCCCCTTTAACTCCCCAGTGTTTGTAGAACAGAGTCCCGGTATTTATGTCTGACCTCAGGGAGACTAATACCTAGCCCTGACCGCCCAAGCTCAGTCCCACTTCTGGCCCACCCCACACACCCTTCTGAGATCCTGAGAAGCCACAGAAAATCTCCAAGAGCACCCCTTTCCACTTTACAAAAAACACCAGTGCCTTTAATATGCTGTAGTCTCTGCCCAGAATATCCTTCCCTAGATTTTTTCACATGGTAAAACTTTACTGGTCATATACCATCCCATTCAAATAGCACGTAATCTGTCAGGACTGTGTTGGCTTCCCTGCCTTCCTTTTCTGAGTTCCCACATTAGTTTGTAGGTGCCTCCATCACAGATCTTAACAAACTATACAGTAATTACTCTTTATGTATCTGACTCCCCAACTAGTTCCAGTCCATGACTATGTCTCCAGTGTTTTACCACTCGCAGTCCCCATCCTTCCAAATGAGTGCTCAATCCAGATTTACGACAGGTACAATCCCAGCTATTTGACAGTGTTTTTTTTTTAACTCAAAGGTAGATTACAATAATCAATGGGCACTGACTGCCACAGAAACCTGAACCATTTAGAAGGTAGGCAATCCCTTTGGCTTTAAATTAACTATATACAGTTGGATACCTCTTAATTAGCTTGAATAAATTCAGGCCACATTCTTTAATTTAAACAATAGTTTGACGTACGTATCCTTGGACAAATAGCTGTTTGAGTTTTCCTATTACATTCTAAGCCCTTGGAGAGCAGAAACCAGGTCTTGTTCAACTATGTATAACCCACAGCACCTGTACCAGATAAATGTTCACAATAAAAGGTTGTAAAATTGAATTCCCAGAATGAGTGGTGTCTTAGTTTGGGCTGCTCTTAACCCAAAACCGCAGACTGGGTAGCTTAAATCACAAACATTTCTACAGCTATGAGGCTAGACAGTCCAAGGTCAAGATGCTGGCCCACTCAGAGTTAGGTGAGGGCCCTGTTCCTGGTTTGCAAATGGTCATCTTCCTGTTGTGCCCTCTCTTGGTGAAGACAGAGAGGCAAGACAAAACAATAGTGCTTAATTAGTGTATTGGGGCTCTCATCGCTTCCCTTTCTTACAAGGGCACTGATCCCATATGGGGTGTCGTCCTCATGACCTCAGCTAACCCTAGCTGCTTCCCAAGGGCCCCATCACCAAATAACATCACCTTGAAGCCTGCGACTTCCACACAGGAGTACTGGGGGACAAAACACTCAATAGCAAGTCGCCATATTGATATTTCACCACATTTTTTAATGTTCCATTTGTATCTTTGCGAGGAAAAAAAGATATTCCATTTTTAGAAAAGAGTCAAACAGGGAAAATACATTCCTCTACAACATGCCTCCAGCACAGAAACACACAAACTTCGGGCATCCTGATCAGGCAAGTTAGTTTAGAGAAAAGAACACAAGGGTGCCTCATGCTCCCTCGTTTTGACTGGGGACCCATAGCTGATCCCCATCTCTATTCCTAAGCGGGAGGTTACTGCTGATCTAACCCCCTGCTCCGGGCGGGTGAGGTATACAGAGCTTTCTCTCCTCCAAAGCAACACTTGTAAGGGGCCAGGTGGAGACAGGCTGCTCCTGATCCTTGTGTCTTCTCCAAGCTGAAGCATACTGAATTTTATGAGAAACATTCCTAAATGAACACAAACCTTTCACTTGATGGGAAGGGTGAGGAAGGATGATGAGGGCAGCTTTGTACATTTAAACACTGAAGAAATGCTAAAGGAATGAACTAATGCCCAGATTTCAAATAAGAACAACACTCATTCTAGTGTTGTTGTTTTCTTTAAATGGAGGCAAAACATATACAGATGTTAGCATAACTTCTCCCTAAACATTTGAGGGTAAAACATTTTTATTAATAAAAAATGTAGGAGGGCAAGAATAGATGGAGAGGTGGGAGGGATGTTTGTGTATAATTATAAAATATTTGCTATTTGTTTCATTTGAGAGTTTATGTATCCACTACTCTTAAAGTTGCATTCCACAGGAGAAGTTACTGGCCAGTTTCTACTAGTTTTAGGAATCTGACATATGCAGGTGAGAGAGCATTTTAAAACCACTTGCAAGTTCCTTAGGGTCAGACTTCGGGCATTTTCTTCCTACTTTGAACATTCTTGCCTCTTTCCTCTTAATCTTTTTTTTTTTTTTTTTTTTTTTTGCAGGTTCTCATTGGTAACTATATTATTGCCCCTCTTCTCTCCTCATCTCTACTGCCTTCTATTTCGTCACCTTCCTTTTCTAAATTGTTTCTTAAGTTTTCCATCTTCCTAAATGTGAAATTCTGAACTATATCAAAAATACTCTACCCTGAAGATTTTTAAATGTAAACTATGCCTCTTATTACATAGCCTAGTGTCAATAATTAAATATAACATTACTGATTCTCTTACCAAACAATAAATATTCTAAACTTAAAAAGAAATATTACATTGCTGGTTCAGCTGTAAAGATAAAATAAAACCTCAGAACACATTCCAACATCATAAAATTCTATCAATGAATTAAAAAGTATCTTGAAACACAAAGAGACTGTAATTTTCTTTGACCAATGCACCCTCCTTTTACTGCACAATCCTTCATGTTTCAGCTTTTACTCAGAAACTCATGGTTGGTATATGAAGCTGTGAATTTAATTTTCTGGTGAATTCTATGCAAAAATTTCCCCCCTTTTTATCAAAATGTTACAATAGATTCTCTTTTTCTCCACTCCATCTGCCACTTTTATTCCACATCCTTGTCTCCCAGAAAAGAGGGAGAGACCCTTCCATAGACTCCACAGGCGGCTCCAGGGATCCTGCCTTCCTTGTGAAATGCAAGCACTCCTCTGAAGAAAGGTGTTTCCTGCCTGGGCTATATTTCACTAGTGCTACAGATTCTGTGATGCCTCCACAGCTACTTTTGTCACTACCTAAAAAAAACACACAAAAAAACAAAAACAAAAAACTATGTTTTTTTTCTCCCTCCAGGGAAAGTAACACATAATTGAGTCCTGATTTCCAAAGTCTCTCAAAATTTGCCAAGCTCTCCACTGGGATCTCACTAGAAAGAACCGGTGTGATCTTTCCTGGATAGGAGGGCAATTAGTCTATGAACTTCAGAAAGGCCCTGGGAGAAAGCATTATAACTCTGACTGTTCCTGAATCCTCCCTACGTGTCCCTTCATGACAAAGCCTCATCCAACAGAAGAGCCGATGGCATTCCAGAAAATACATTTCCCTGTCTATTTTACATGTGTCTTTTTAGCTATAATGATCACCTCCATTAACACCCAATGCACTCACTAGTGAATTTAATATGAATTCTTTATTAAAAGTCACACATTACCATGAGAAGTGGAGAAAAAAACAAACAACAAAAAACCTCATAATAAAAGATCAAGCCTTTCACCTTTATCCAAAACAAATAAGCTTAGTGATAAAGATGTCATGTAAAGCTTATATATTACCCTTAATTTATAAGGGGAACTTATAATCAGTTTTTAAAATAGTTGTTTTTGTTTTTGTTTTTTTGCTGGCAGAGTCCAAACTAAAACTTAGGTTACTAAAAAATGTGTGTGTTAGTACCTAAAAAAAGTATAGCATGTTCCCCATGTTTTGTCTTAATATTTCCACTGTGTCAATGAGTTGGAGATGATAGTGTATAACTCCATTTTAACACATGGGAAAGGAGTTCATAATGATAACCTGTGGTCCAACACAAAGCTAACACAACCGAAGTTTGTTTCTTATTCTGCCTACCTCCAAACACATTTATTATTTCCCTGAATTATAAACAAGAAAAATAGCATTTGCCAACAGAAACAATAACAACAAAGTAAACATTGTCAATTTTTCTGGAATACAGATCATTAAGGACATTCTGACCAAGGAAAGTCTAGTCCGATATTAACAGAGCTTATCTTTCTCTTAACTGTCACATTTGATTATATATATGGAGGCCAATAACACAAGTCATGATGATCTGGAAGAAAGCAGCGATCAGGAGTACAAATGAAATATGTTTAAATGTCCCCTTTATTTTGAAAGGGACTTTTTTTGTATTTCTAAATAAGTGTCCCTTTGCCAGAATCAGGACAATTAAGAAAAAGAATTGTTTCATAGCTTCTCTAAAAATGAAAACTTGCAAGTTTACTAACTCAACAAAATGTAGATTAAAAGCTCTAATATTTGATCCTCTATATCCATAAAATTTTTTTACAAGATTTAATTATTGTCGTCTAAGAGAAGTTACATTTAGGCAAAATATGTTTCTGCTCATTCGAGGTAACAGAACAAAAACACTCACAAATTAAACACCCATTTCCTAGGCACACAATGCTATAGAGAGGAGAGGCTTTGGCCTTCTGCCTCAACTTCAGGGTTCTCTAACTCTAAGGTGCATCAGAGTCGCCTAAAGGACTCGATAGAACACATGGCTGGGCCTCACCAGGGTAATCTGACTCACTGGTTCTGGGGTGGGCCTGAAAGTTTACATTTTAACAAGTTTCCAGGTGATGATGATGATGATATGAATCTCAGGATGACACTTAAAGAGCCACTGCTTTAACTCAGCCACCTACTCAACCACTGTGGAAGCCTCAATATGATATGTCTAGTCATTCTAGATGAATATCCAGTGTGTTATGTTAGTTAGCTTTATTGACAAATAAAGCCATTTCTTAATTAAAGTATTACTTTGGAATATCTTCATCACCTCTAAGTTGCAGACCATTTTTTGAAGCGTCACAAAATTATAGATATTTAATATATTAAATTAAAAATATTTTTATATATGTATCATATCTTTACTGGTAGTTCTTAGATAACTATGCTATTTGAAGACTCACTGGACTTCTGATTGGATGTTAAAAACAACGAAGTATGGATGTAAGTGGGCAATTCCCGTCCTCAGGTCTTACCTGTGACTGGTGCATCAATATCCAGCAAATTTTTTTCCTGTCGAAGAATGGAAGCCCCCTCTGTTATTATTCTCAATGCAACACTCTCTTCCAGCCGGCCCTCCTTCATGAGATGTGCCTTTAAGATATCCACACGAGGTTTCCCATCGTTATCAAACACTTCCTTTGCTGTGAGCCGGTGACTTGGAGGAAATGGGACAGCTGAAAGAGAAAAAGTCAGAATCCTACATTAGCCAAAACTCAACAACAAACGATTCAGGAATAACCACCAGATATCTATCCTAATCACGAACCACCTATTCGAGTATTTTAAAATTTCCCACATTAAAATGATCAAGGGCTCTCAAGAATTAAAGACTTCCTTTGATTCCAGATGTAATATGATTACTTGAAAGGAAGTTGGCAGTAATTTCTTACATCTTGAAGCTGCTGATTGACTTAATAAGAAAACAGGATATGTGCTTTAATTAGGCAAACATCAATTCAGCAAAAGAAAATCTTTCCTATAGATCCAACCATAACCAACTTGAGCAAAAAAAGCAGGCTCCTCCACTGGGATTGGAAAAATGGGAAAAGTTCTGGAGACTAGATCGCGCCTTCACCTAGAGTCACATCTCTGAGTAAATGTATGGACTCGCTGTTTAAGGGGAGAACAGGAATCTGAGAGAAAAAGGGCAAAAATTCACAGAACCAGGATTTGTGTATGTACTGAAGGAACATCTTGAACAGTAAGAGGACACTATGATGTCGGGAAGGAGACACATATTTAGGAATATGGTACAAAAACCTCTGACTGTGCAGACCTACACCCAGCCATTCTCTCTCCCACACCCTCAAGCCTTCTTAACAGTAAGAAGCTCTCCTACAACTACTGTCATTCTTCACACTGGTGAATACATCCATTTCTCCACTCATTCAGCTGGAGGACGTTCCATAAACAACCACAATGAGCCACAACGGGACTCCCAGGCCCATGGCAGAGGTGGCATCATGAATGTTAAATTTCTGGTAAATGGTCAATATGCTCCTTCAGGAAGGGAAATTCATTATTTCTCTATTTCACATGAGGGTTCATTTTTGAACTACTCAAATCTATTAGAAATACCTGAAAGGTGCATAAACACAGCTTCACATAATTTTCATCGGCCATATGCATTACGCCATGTGCATTAAGAACATCCCCTTATGACAGTTCCCCTCGGCAAAGCACACCTGATATTAAGGAATAAACCTGGCTCTCAAAGAAGCAAGAATGATAGTAGACCTAGGCCAAGAAATTCTGTGCACTCTAATAGCACACATTAGTTACGCAAGAGAAATTAGAACTACTTAAGGGAGAAGAAAAATCAGGAAATGAACCTGTACTAATGCAAGTTTGATTTTCCTAACAATCCAAGCATATCTACTTAACCTTGCTGCCCAAAACAAAGTGGCAGTGGCACACGCCATGGAGCAGCATGTGGCTTTTGTGGTCAGACAGACCTGGGTGCAAGCCCTGGCTCTGCTCCCTCACCAGCTGTGTGACCCTGGGCAAGTTAAACATCTCCCTATGGCTTCTGTTCCCTCCCCTGTAAAGTGGGGATTATATCTACCTGACGATTGTTACAGGAACTAAAGCAAATAGTAATAGTAACCAATATTTATAGAGTGTTTATTTAATGCCAGGCAATGTTTGGGGTAATAAAGTCAGAACAGTAAAGATGTAAGATGAGTAAGACCTATGTACATGTGTTTATATGTAAAGTTATTGAGCCCCCATAACATTACCGTGGGAGACAAAGTTGATGCTCAAAAATAGGAAGCACCTCTTCTAAGATAAGCACCTAGAGATGTACACATAGACCCACTGAGTGTAATCTCTGACGGTCTGGTGCCAGTATTACTGTGTTAACAACTACTCCCCAGTGTTTCCTAGAAAGTACTTTAAACAGTGCTGAAAAAATAATGAGCAAATCACATTTTAGCATTGAAATTCTAACAAATACTGAGTGGTGCTTCTTATAAAGACCACTTTTATTCCCAAAAATAATTTTAATGACTGATGGTAGAATAGCTTTATAATACAAAACATGATATAAAATAAAAGACAAAATGTGTAATTCCAAAGCATACTGTGAAATTAAAAAAAAATTAAGAATCAAAAGAAAAAGAGGAAATCTGGCCATTCATCTTGAGGCATTTGAAGAGTTTGTTCATCCCATTTCTTTGTCTACCTCCTTTTTCTTGCCTGACTAATATCTTTGTTAAGAAAACATGAAACAATTGCAATGGACACATTTTTTTATTTAAGTCTTCATGTACGAGCATGGTTTGAAATTAGAAAATATCTGGCAACTCCTCAAAATATCCTAGTTATAGGATAGGGGTGGAAAGGGGGAAACTTCAAAAGGACACATAGGATAAAAACAAGAGCTGATTTGTTTACTTGTTTGTTTATTTATTTTTATTTTTTATTTATTTATTTTTTTTTACCTACTTATCAAGATGTGAGTTGGACCCTGTGGAGGTTTAGGTGACTCTGCAAAACTGTCAGAAAGAATTGTAGGAGAACCAGAGAGAAAGAGGCTGATTTACTGACGGGCATATGAAAGCAGTGGGTCTTTGCCAGACACTCGCTGGCCTTGCTGAACTAAGGGAGACCAAAGGATTAAACCTGAAATAGCCCAAGCATTTAAGAAGGCGAGAGGCGAAAAGAGAGCACTCCAGGGAGGCATCACCTTCATGAAGCAGACTTTCTCCAAGTCCCTAGACTCTCTCCAAGGCTAAGATCGCTGCAACAACAGATGCTCCACTCTGCACAGTAGATCTCTTACCTCCTGTAATTGCTTATCCTAAGGTCACTGGCTAAGGCAAAACCACCCGCTCTGAGATACTGGAACTGGTTCCAAGTAAACAGGAGCACGAAGAGAGAGAAAAGACCAATCAGAAGCTCCGTTTCCGAATGGATGGTAGGGGCACGGATGAGATGGGCGCTTTACCAGCGAACCAGATGGAAAGGCCTGCAGGGAACCAAGATGGGCAGCGAGGATGCCAAAGATCAAATGCAGAGATGCTGTCAGCGGAGAGAAGTTTTCTGGCATAAAAATAAAAGTGGGCTAATATCTGTGTGTGTGTGTGTGTGCACCCTTCGGCTTCATAAAGAAAATACCAGTCTTACAAAGGTCACATTTATTTGCTTTCCCTGTTCACCTGGACTCCTACATGCAGACCGGTGCCAAATACTGAGCAAAAGCTAGTTAGCCTGAAGAAACCAACATGCTTAGGAAACACTTCTTTCACTAACTTGTAAAAGTAGCTATGCTTGAAACAATGAAACCGGGTTCCCCTTCCCTCTGTTGCTTTGAGTATTAGCAACTGCTTTCATTGGTACAGGAGCAGGCCTGGACTGGAAGCATGAAGTTTGCGTGTGCTAGTAAAAATGCAGAAATAATTGTTGATATTTGGGCTGAAGCTTTCCAAAACAATTTTCTGATAACTACCTATTAAGTACAGAATATGGTATTATAATAGACTTCTTACCAGCATTCTAGAAACGGAAACCCTCTCAGCTTTCTCCACTTCATGATTCCCACTCGGTTTTACCACCCTCTCCTCTCCAATACAATATAGCAAAGTAGCTAAAATGCGGGGCCTATAAGTCCTTGACTGACTCCGAATACAAACCACCACAGAAGCCTTCAAAAGGCAAACAGTACACTTGATTAGGACTGAGTTCCCATGTCATTGACTGTGGAAATCTGGCAGCGTCTGATTTCCAATGAACTGGTTAAGACACCGCTTCTTCTTTATTTATTGTTGCCACCAGAATTCATCTACCTGATACAGAAACAGGTTGCTCGTCTGGAAACCAAAATCATGTGCATCCAATACTGGCATCGACATAACAATGACTGAAGTTGTTGGCAATTATTCATTCGCCAGAAGAACAACACATGTCGGGTCAGAAAGCCACATAGCCATGGCCTGAGTATTCCCAGCCCTGGGATATGGCTGACTGTGGGGACCATACCTTAGGGGAGAGCCAGGAGTCTCCTCCTACAACCTGGGCTGGGTCGGTTCTAGACAAGCACAGTGTGCCTCCGTAGCCAATGTGATCCACTTTAGCCACTACTGAAGGGATTCCTATTACTTGATAGGGAATATTCAAGAGCCATTGTCCACGGTGATGCCTTTCCTAGGAGGAAAACCAGGAAACCTGCTGCCTGACCTCTCTCCAGAGAGGCTGTCACACATGCTGACAAGAGAGAATCACACAACTTAAGAGAACATTTAGCTGAGTGACTTTTTTTTTTTCCAAATCTTTGTTTTTTCCTCTCAAATAAAATGGCATCTGAAAACTCAAGTATATCCAAAGAGAGTAACAATCAAAAGCAGCTTGCTTGCCTCTTTTCTCCTTTAGGATGGCTCACAAAATCTTGGGGCTTTTTGTGACGAAATTAGAGAACTCCCAATTTAGACTGACCCCTGACCACTCTCGTATTAAAGAGGAAATTGAAGCCCAGAGAGAGGATAAGTGAACTGTTCAAAGTCAAAAGCTTAGTCAGTGGCAACACCAACACTAATGCTGAGGCCTCCTGGCTTGTATTCCAGTACTTTCCCCTCTAGCTCTCCTCTGGCCAATATGGAATTGACTAGACAGGTGTGGCTGCTCAACACGTGAAAAATGGCTTGTCCACACTGAGATGCACTTCAAGTCTATAATTCAAATCTACAACACTTCAGACCAGGAAAAAATGTAAAGTATCTCATTAAATATTTTTATATTGATTACACATTGAGATAATAAGATTTGGAACATATTGGGCTAAAGAAAATGTATTACTACAATTAACTCCAGCTATTCCTCTTTTCTTTTTTAATAGAGTCACTAGAACTTTTAAATTTGCATAAATGATTTGTATTAGATTACTGTTGGCCAGGAGTGCATCCTTCTCAACAAGTAAATGAGAACAAAGTGGATGGAAATTGTATTCTATAATCTTTCTTCTTTTCCAGCTTTGGTTCCTGTAAAACTTCAAACTATCTCAAAACTGGCTGCAGAGTGGAATTGCTTTTAAAAATGAATGATGCCCAGGCCCATCTCCTAGAGATCCTGATTTGGCTTGGCTGGGGCAGGGCAGTGGCATGCTCTTAAAGAAATCCAGGTAGCCCTAGCTGGTTTGGCTCAGTGGATAGAGCATCAGCCTGTGGACTGAAGGGTC